GTAGGGACAGAGGTTCTCAACTGGACCTAGAAAGTACAAACTCTTAATCTGATAACTATTTGTTAAACATTAGCTTTATAACCAAAGAGTGCAGAACCTTTCTTCTCCCAGAAATGTTATTAGTAAGGAAGCTAAGGATGTCCTAAGTCTGCGAGCCCTTCCTGTGACGGGGCCACACCACCAGATCACAGGCTGTGCAGTACTGGTGCTGGTGAGGATCTCTGGTCTTCAACTTTTCTTCCCAATAACCATCCTTACTTTTCCTACTTTATCCTCAGGATAGGAGTTACTTGACTAATTTAGTTGCTACTAAGAAAAACTGCCTAATAAGCAGATTAATAAACAATGTCCCACTTTTGTTATAAAAGCACGAAAATATACTAGGTCCTCAAAATGTTAACAATTAACTCAGGCTAATCACCTGCAGTCACAATGTGGACACTTAGATGGCAGTGCTTTTAGTGTCTGCATGAATTACAAGTATACTTTTTAGAATAGATGAGCTTCTGAAATGTGAGTGGAAAATCCAATAATGAGAAGTTCAATGGGAGTTCCCTACTTTTAAAAAGGACTCATTCTAAGTTGCGATACTTTATAACTCTGTATTTGCACGATTATTTTCTGTATTCAGCCTGTCTCACTGGACTACACGTTCCAAGAGGGCAGGGACCGTGTCTGTTTTCTCACTACTGTATTCTCACTACTGTAAGCTGAGACCCTAGTAAACAGCCTGGAACATTAATAAATAACTGTTGGTGGACGCATGAATGGTTGGATGAACTAACTGATGGAAATAATCCAGGTGAGAAAACAGTAAGGCCTTAAAGTGAGGCAGTAGCAATGGGGATGGACAGAATGCAGATCTGAGTGATACTGAGGAAGCAGAACTGTACGACCTGGGGACTGACGAGTTCAGAGAGACAGACGGAGTCCAGGGTTGTTGGCTTGGGCGACTTGGAGGATGGTGTGTGCCATTCACTGAGCTGGGAGTACAAAACGAAGGGGAGAAAATCTGTGAACGGCTTGGATGGTTTAATTTTGGACACCAAGTCTAAGGGACCTGTGGGATAACCAACGTGTCCAGCATAGCCTACGTACACCTGGAGTACAGGATCTGCAATCCCAAAATTTGTGAGTCATCAGCTTACTGGTGGTTTGAACTATGGGGCAGGGTGGGTAAAATCGCTAGGGAGAGGAAGAACAGCAACTAGGACAGCACCCTGGGGAAACCTGATCTCTGGGGGTTGGGGGAGTAGCCTGCAGAGGAAACTGAGCAGTCAGAGAGGCAGCAATCCAGAAATGCAGCGTCATCACAAAAGCAGATCCAGGCGGAGAAGTGATGAGCAGTATTAAGTCAGAGATCACACAGATGGCAATGGGCTATTAGTTTAGCAACAGATAAGTGTGTGATAACCTTGATAAGAGCCAGTACAGTGGAGTGCTGGCATGAGAGAAAGTCATGAAAACCTAGTTATCCCTTAGTTTGTCTGTGAAGGTCAAAAAGAGTTAGGATGATACTAGAGAGGGACATAGGGTAGAAGGAAATTGTTATTAAACAATTTCTGACAATACCTGATGCTCTGTATTTAAAAGGGAAAAGGTACTTTTTTTTTTTAAGTAGTTAGGTTGGTAGAGCAGAGGACTGTAATGGAAGGTCCCAGGCATCCTTAGGTCGTTGGTTCGAATCCGGCTCGAAGGAACTTGCCTTTTGAGTCTTTTTTTCAACCCCACCTTCAAAAACATCCATCTCAGTCCTGTATATCCTCGACTGGCATCTATCTAAGACCCTCCGCATTGTGCAGCGAATCCGTTCTTTAATCATTATTCTCCGTAACCACGACTGCTATGCGCGACCAGACTTCAGCCCCATGGTGCGCACAGAGCCGGCGCCGCAGACAAGTCCGGAGCCCGAACCGGACAGGGCGCATCCTGGAGGATCCAGGATGATCCAGCTCCCTTTCCCAAGACAATATTCTAATTAGAATGATCTGGGTGTGGAAGTTCTTGCGGGGGCGGGCAGGGGAAGAAGGTATGCTCTTAAAGATAAAAAGGAATTGAGGGGGCTGGATCAGACAGAGGAGATTTTCTAGGGAATTTTATTTTGGGGTGAGCCCATTTACCAATGTCTGATGTGGACTATGGGACAGGACTGAAACCCAACTATCTTGGTCCGAAAGCATGGGATGAAATATAGATTTATCTAGTCTGCTTAGTTAGCTAAGGGACAATCCAGACCTTGAGAAAAAAGATTAATATCTTTGAGTCAAAATAGGAACAAAATTGGAAGTTTACAAGCTAAGGGAGGGAGGCAGGGTAGATGCAAAGGCTGTTCTTGCTTCCTGATACCTAGTGGGAGACAAAGACTCAGTTATTAGAGACAAGTCATATCCACTCACTGATGCTATGCCCAGACATCAAAGACAAACCAGAAAGGACAGGTTCTGAACTGGGGCTAGCCAAATTCAGATTGTAGAGGTCAGAAGCATCCTGCAGATGCCAGCACAGAACCCATGTCCACAGAAAAAAAGGAAGGATATTTTCCAGAATGATGCTTCATTGTAGTGTGCCTTGCTCATGAGAGGGCACAATCATCACTCTGTATTTTGAACTGAGAAAAACAAGTCTGGGCTGCTCAAGGTTTGTGCAAGTTCTCTGTTCTCATTTCCTGAAAGATGCACCTTTGGGGAACAATCTGATTACATTCTGAATATGGGGCTTATAAAGTATCTTCTTCGCTTTTGAATATATAGCCCTGGTGTTCATAGCACTGTTCATTCTAAATAATGAAAAATGTGTAGTTTCTATCAAGTCAGAATGGGAAAAATATAATACGGGACCTTCTCCTCACCACTCCCAGCTTTTGCAACCTCAGAGCACCACCGATTCATAGTCCCTTACTCCAGACAAGAAACAATACTAGTCTGAAATAAGAGTCTAGCGATGGAGATGGGGAAGGTCTTGATTATTCAGCAGGTGAGGGCTAAAGGAATGAAGTGCTGAAGAGGAGGCAGGTCTCTGATGTGGGTGAGTGAGTGGACGGCAGCCATCAAGAGAGAAATGAAAAGGAAGAGCAGTTTTTTTGGAAAGAGGAGTTTAGCTTTGGATGAATTGATCTGAGTAGATATAATAGACAATTATATCAATGAATATGAAGCTCTTAAGAAGAATGGTTACACAAGATAATAAAATCATAGGTAACAGTTTGAGTATTAAGCGCTAAGTAGATGGTCTCCAAATTAGGATGGTTTGACTTATTTTTCAACTTTTCAGTGGTGCCAAAGCGATATGCATTATAAATTACATGAGATATTCAATGCTTTATAATAAGATAGTCTTTGTGTTAGATGATTTTCCAACTGTAGGCTAATGTTAAGTGTTTTGAGCACATTTAAGGTAGGCTAGGCTAAGCTGTGATGTTTAGTAGATGTATTAAACCCATTTTTGACTTAGGATATTTTCAACTTATGATGGGTTTATCAGGATATAACCCCATTGTAAGTCAAGGAACATCTGCATTAAGTACTTCACCAGAACTTCCTTAATCTTCAGTCTTACAAGCCAGGTAACACTTACTTCATCTCCACTTAAGGAAAGAGGAAGCTTAACTTACGTGAAGTAGTTTGCCCACCATCACACCCCTAGTATGAAGCAGAGCCAGGATTCAGGCCAAGGAGGCTGACTACACAGAACAACACTCGTACCACATCATGAATGTGCAGGTGGCAATTAAGACCTCGAGAATGAATGTCAATGGAACAGATATAAAGTGAGATGAAAGCAGAACCACAGGGGGAAAACACTTACTAGGTAGACAGAGAAAGTGGAATCAGTGAAAGGGAAGCCAGGGTCTGTCATTCTTAGGCAAAGAGAAGAGTGGCCTTGAAAAACCAAGGCCACTGAATAAAGGAAAGGGGAAGCTAGGAAGCCCCTGGAGACACAGTGAGTACACCTAGCTCCTGGGCTTTGAGCGACTGTAGAACCTGGTCAGGTGGCTTACCTTCCTGCTCCTCCCTCCTGACTCTTGCTCTTCACGGCCTCAGGTTGATCCGAATTCCAAGAAACATGTTAGCACTCCACAGAAATAAAACCTGTCCTGAAAGGAGCGCTCCTCCTAGTGGAGAAGCGGAGGGTGGAGCAGGCAAGGAGGGTTAGTTGGGACAAAAGGAAAGACGGAACATGACCCAACCATCGGTAACCCGCTTTATTGCCCCTTGTTGTCCAGGCATGAATTAGTAGTGCTCCTTTTTTTGTTTCAACTTGGATAAATTACAGGGTCACCCTATCTACACATCAAGTGAGGAAGGGCACTCAGCTCAAGAGCGATTAAAGCAAATCTGACCTGAGAACTGATAGGAACAATACAGTATCTTTTGGAGCAATGGGCTTTTCTCACAAAAATAACTGGACGTAGCTGCCTTTAACAGATGCCACCGTGATAGGACAGCATAGTGCTGACTGGAGTCAGCCTATCTGGGTTCAAATCTCAGCTCCAGCACCTCCATTCTGAGCAACTTTTAATCTCTCTAAACCTCATTTTCTTGCTCTCTAGTACAATACTGACTCTTCTATTCCATAGCCTTGGAATGATTAAATGAAGCGCTTTCATGTAAAGTACTTAGAGAAGCTCTTAGGAGATGACCACCCCGTAAAATATTAAATGTGAGGAAATGCTAAAAGAACTGGTAAATAGTGGAGAGCGGGGGAATCCTAACCTTGAGCAGCTGTAACCTCTCTGTAATGGCTCACGCACCACCTGACTTGGACTCTTTGGTCTGCTTTGATTTAGGTAAATGTGTTTGTGGTGGGGATGATCAAGACCTTTGCAATTTTCTTTGTGGTTTTTCAAGAAGAATTTGAAAGCACCTCAGAGCAAACTGGTTGGATTGGATCCATCATGTCATCTCTTAGTATTGCAGCAGGTATGAAGCCAAAAATAAGTTTGGTGTCCAAGGAGAAGGACCACAAAGGGCAATTCCAAGAAGACTCATCTGTCATTCAAGACTGAAATGTTGCTAAAACTCAGGTTTTTTCATTAATATATAAAGCTGAGAAAAGGACCTGCAGTGTTTAGCCTTCACTTGACTTGGTAAAACTGGGAAATTTAAGAGTTCAAACAAAGGAAGTTGAAGAATCCAACTATTTAATTCCATATTCAAATTCTTCATGCCTGCTTTCTTTTGACAGTGCCTTAGCATAGGTTCTATGAGCCAGTCTCTCAACTGGGAAGTCCGACCATGAAGTTCTGATCTCATCATCTAAACATACACAAAGTAGAGAACCAATTCTTCTTCTTTTAGTTCTATTCAGAGCTACAGTGTGGAGGAGGAATAGATTAATCATCAAACTTTGTTCTAGTCATAGGTTACTAGATGCAATCTCATTTTGTGAGATGCAATTTCAATGCATTTTCAATAAGCTTCCCCTCCAAACCAACTTATTTACGATCCTCTTTTCCTTAAAAACAATAACAACTCTTCCAAAAAGCAAAATAGTGTGGGGCTGGGAATATTAAGAAACCCAATACAGACATCTTTTTGAATACGCAATACTCCAAAGTAGAGTTTTCCTTCAGATGCTCATTTAAATTCCACATCAGAAGATAAGGGATGCCGGAGCACACTCACCTAGTACTATACTTTCTTTCTTTTCCCAAGGTCCTCTGGTTGCCATTATCGCCGATACATATGGAGACAAAACTGTTTCCATTCTTGGAGCTTTTCTTATAAGTGGTGGATTTCTGATCAGCAGTCAGGCTACAAGCATTCCATTTCTTTGTGTGACAATAGGAGTTTTACCTGGTGAGTTCACTGTAAAAGTAAGACTTTAAAAGGGGAAACTAGGAACCTTCCCTCTTACTGTCCATGGGTTTTATTATTTCGATGCCTAGTTTTATTATTTCGGGTCCAGGAGAATACCTGGTCTGGTACTAAGGCAGTTCATGTAAGTGATTCCAACCTATTGTTTCTTTTTAGGTTTGGGTTCCGCTTTCTTGTACCAAGTAGCTGCGGTGTTAATTAGCAAATACTTCAAAAAACGATTAGCACTTTGTACAGCTATTGCCCGTTCAGGGATGGGACTGACATTCCTGTTAGCACCTTTTACAAAATTCCTGATAGACCAATATGACTGGACAGGTGAGTCATTCTGTTTCTGACCTATCAACTCTGCAAGACTTCATGTTTGCTTTTCTGTCTTTGATGAGTGAAAGTAGAAGACTTTTGAAGCCAGAGTAGAAATGAGCATGACTTCTAAAGGAAACATGCTCCTCTTCCTTAGAGAGTACATGGCAGCAGAGATCTTAAACTACTTGCAGGCTCTGCCAGCCACGTGAGCAGCTCGAGTTCACCACGGGGTTACTGTCCGAGGGGACAGAATACAGTGCATGGCTGGGAAACACCCTGTGAGGAAAGTGATACTACGGGGGAGACAAGCACTTCCCTTTCCCTCCTCTCCTTCTACCACCAAAGCTCTCTCTTTTCAAATTTTCCCTTTAAGAAAAAAATTTGCATTAAAAAAATCCCTCCTCCATCAGACTAAAATAGACAAGAAAAAAATGGGTAGAATGAGGACTATGTCCCTTAATACTTAATCTTTTACATGCTGTCAACTATGAATTTTCACAAATGAATGACAATCATTCTCTCCACAATTTCTTTGAGCCTGAGATAAAACATTTGGATTAAAATAATCAAATTCCTGGAAAAATATCACATGCACATATATATATGAATATATATAAGAACCTATTTCTATCTACAGAGCAGTTTTATTGAAACTTTCTTTTCCTAAGGAAAAAACTACCAGGAGCCTCATGGTGAAGAGGTCCAGCTGACAAATCCATAAGAGATAGCAAGAACCTACAGCTAATTCTTTCTCTAGAAGCACCAAACACAAGTCACCACTTTGGTCTGGCCATGCTGAAATTAAGCAACTACTCAGCTTTAAAGGCAAAACTGGCATGTCTTCTTTCATGAAAATTAAAAATGTCGAGACAAAAGGCTGTCCCCTCCTCAAAGACAGTGTCCAAATGATTCCTATCGTCAAATTCTATATTTCCTATACCTAAATCTATATCCTCACTTCAAGATACTTAAAATTCCCTATTTAAAACACAATGTAATTTTCTAGCATTTGAAATATCCCCTCCCACCTAAAGACCCTTATTCTTTTTTTACTTTAGCACAAATAACACTTCTCCTTCCATGCTATCTATTGTTTTTTGTTTTTGTTTATCTCCAAAGGACACCGTTTTCACAACGATACATCAGCACATACAGCTAACACTTAAGTCATCAGATTTAAATACTTTTAAATTCTGGGACAAAGGAAGTATTACACTATGACTATTTAGTGGCGGGGTTCATCTGAGCCTGAGAACACAGAGTATTGTGAAATGAGACAGGTAATTTTTAACAACTTTTCAATTTCTTTCTATTTAGGTGCCCTTATAATTCTTGGAGCTATCATACTGAATTTGGTACCTACTAGTATGCTCTTAAGACCCATCCATATCACAAGCAACAGCAATTCTGATATTAAAGATGAAGGTAGCAGTTTATCTGCAAGTGGTCCAGAGGCAGAGTGCGGGGCAGAAACATCACACTGCAACAAGCCACAGGAGTCTACCATCAGGGACTGTACTACACAGAAGCCTGGACAACCCAGTGCAAGTTTAACTGACTCACAAAATCAAAACAAAGAGTTCAACAACGGGCCAGACAGGAACAGATTGCTCCTAACAACTAATGAACAAAGTTTTGAGAAAAAGGCTGTTTTGTGCAGCTGTAAACAATATCTCTCTTTTATCTCTCTTTTCAAGAATCCTTTCTTCTGCATATTTACCTGGTCTTTACTCTTTAGTCGATTGGCATATTTGGTCACTAACCTTCACCTAGTAGCCATAGCCAAAACACTGGGAATTGACATGACGGACGCCTCCTACCTCGTTTCTATAGCTGGTAAGAAAGCCTACTTCAACCTCAAACGAACAAAAAGGTCTTAGTAATTTTTCAAATGTGTCTATCTGCATTTTTAAAAGCTGGTACTCAGTGGCAACAGCCACTCCAGGAAGCAAAAGAAATCCTAGGAAGATAGCATAGTGCAGGGGTTGAAAGGATTTGTTCTAGAGCTAGACTTCCCAGATTCAAGTTTTTGCTCTGTATTTCCTAGCTATACAAACTTGGGCAAATAACTTGCCTCTCTATCCCTCAATTTCCTCATCTATAACATAATACTAGTACCTATCCTCATAAGGTTATCGGGATTCAACAAGTAATACATGCAAAGTTTGAGATAGTACCTGGCCCATTCTAAGCATTTAATAATGTTCTATAAAAATCTGTAGCTAAGGATTTTTCCCCTTGAAGTAATATAACATAGATAAATATACCTCTTAAGGCTGGTCACTAACAGATTGGCTGATATTTAAAATAAATTAGTATACAAGTTAAAAATAAAAACGATCATTTTAGTTGAGTATAAAAATGTATGAAAACGAGATGCTTGATCCAGAACAGATTCTCAACTGACAAAAGAGGGATTCTAAAAAAAAAATGAAAAGGGATGAAATGGAATTGGTTCGCTCTAATTATCTGGAAATTCTCAGCATCCCAAACCCTTACAAAGGTTATTATGACCGCACCTGTTTCCAACTGTAAAGGTACTCAGCTTCAGTCAAATAAAGCTTGTGTATACATACACAACAAATACATAGCTAAACTGATTTTCACTAAAATGTCTGGTAGTATCAATTTAGATCAGATTAGAGCTATAAAATGGAACCAAAGAATATAACATAAAGACTCAATGTATATCCTAGGAAATAACTAAAAATATAGAAATGGTAGTATGCACTTTTTATTTCTTCGTGTGTGGAGCAATTTGTTTTATGTTTGAACCATAGAAAAAATTTGAAGTATAAAACAACTGTACCTGAAAATCTCTCAGAATTTAACTGCTACATTACCTTATAACAGGATAAAGGATATTTTGTTATTATGTGGTTCTTAGATTTTTATTCCAATTATACCACAGTTTCGATTTTCTAAATATGATCTATTTCTAAACTTCCTATATATTTTCAATTTAAGTATAATAACCTCTTGGAGGGCTCAATTATTAAAACCTCATGTACGATTTTAAGAAGAAGTTCCAACATCTACTTTTTTTCAATAAGACTATTATTTGTACTCCAATCATCCACCATGACTTCCCCAGGACACTGACCTAAAGGTCTACTAGTCTTTAAAAATCCTACTTCCTCACCTGCGGACTTGAGGAAGGCCTCCTGAGCCCAGGGGCCTCTGTAACCAGGGATTCCCAGTTCCATGGTATGAACTTTCCAAACACAAGAAAAAGCACCCGATGGGTCTTCTGCCCAACCCTGCAGGAGTCTTTCTGGTATTTTGTTAGGTGTGTTTGGAATACCTAAGTAATTGACAGAATCTACGGATAGACAAATGAAACCATTTTTTTCCTCATATGTCCTAGCCTCAAGATAAAGTCACATTACTTAGGAAAAGATGCCTTAGGCATTTACATTTTTCAACGGAGCTAGAAAATTGGAATTAGGATTTCATAAGACCTTTTCAAAATTGTTCCAGGTATCACTGAGTCAGTCAGTCAAATTATCTTTGGATGGATTGCTGATCGAAACTGGATCAGAAAGTATCATTACTACAAGTCTTACCTGATCGGCTGCTGCATCACTAACCTGTTTGCTCCTTTAGCCACCACATTTCCACTACTCATGACCTATACCATCTTCTCTGCCATTTTCTCTGGCGGTCACCTGGCACTGATAATGCCTGTACTGGTGAGTAGACACACTTATTAACATTGTTAAACCAGTTAGGACAAGCAAGTATTGAAAATAATCTCCCCCAAGCAGAACAGTGTTTTGTTATTAACTTTATAATTAAAAATATCATCCGTACGGCCTCAGAAACCCTGCAGCTATATCCCATCCAGTTATTCATCTCGCTTTGCGGGGAGGGATGATGAGAGGACTACCACATGCAACAGGAAAGAAACGAAAGCAAAAAAGGGACTGATAATATTTGGTTTTGCTTCTCAGTCTCCCAGAAGGTTAGGTTTTTGTTCACTTCTTTCCTCCAGCTTCAGAAATTTCTTTGGCTCCTTCTAAGATGCAATATTGAACAGTTCTCCCATGAGAAAAAGGAGCTCCTTGACCAGTGTGGCTTCTCTTGTTGAGAGTTCTGTTTGGGACATTGTTTTTTTTAAACTCTTCTCCATTTTTACCCCAAATTGACTTAGAGTCCTGTACCCAAATGGGATGGAAACACTTATACAAATACTTCTGGGCTCTTCTCAGAACCCCAGGGGTTCTTCTTGGAACTAGAGCTCCAATATGTTGGAACTGAATCCCTGGGAAAGTTCTGGCCTTGATATCAATTGTTAGCATAAATGCCACAGGATATCATATGAGGCTTAGGCAAAAGCCAAACTTTCTAAAGCTGAAATCAACTCTTTGTGTTATCTGATTTCTTACAAACCAATGGTTGGTACCCATGCCGATTCAAGAATACCACTATACCACTGTAGGCTCAGATTGTAAATACCATTTCCTAATAGAGAAGAGCAGTGAGGTTGGGGCGGGGGGGCGGGCGGGGTGGGGGCAGTTGGTGAAGTACCCCTGAACACCCAAGGCTAAAAAAGAAACAAACACCAATGTTCTTTACTGACAAAGTGAAAACACTGCCTGCCAAGTGAAAAACTTGTTCTCTGTTTGCCTCAGCTCTTTCACAATATCAGGGCAAAAGGTCATCCAAATTACCTCAGAAGTCAACTGTTCACAGCTTCAGATGACATAAACAGTATTTGTCCCTTTGTAGCTCTTACTGAATTTCATCTTCAATTTGGCTAACACTGAATTCTAATCTCTACAGGTTGATCTGTGTGAGGAGTCTGTAACACACAGGTTTTATGGACTCGCCTTTTTCTTTGCTGGTATAGCTATCCTTCCTGGACCACCTATAGCAGGTAAGAGCTTAGGCACATTCTGAGCAAATGAAAGAAAATGCTGATCCATGATTAATAGTAACATGTAATGACAATATCAGGTTAAAAGAAACTGATGATATCTCTGCTGCTCCTATACCAACTGTCACACTCCATCCCCAGTCCAGGAGAATCTGAGGGCTAATTCAACAGATGTGCGCTAAGCAGATTTTTATATCCTCTTCGGTGTCTTGGAGCAGGGATTGTATGTAAGTCTACTTGTCTGAGGAGACAATCCAGTTTCATCAGAGTCTTAAAAGACCTATGATGCTTAAAAAAGAAAAAAAAAAGAACCACTACCATCTTTTATCTAAACAGGAGTCACTTTTATAGAGCTTGAAAGCTGCGAGCCTGACCCCATTGCTCTTCAGATGTGCCATGTGGCTTTCCTGGGCTTCTCAACATCTCTTACTTTCAAAGAGGGATGCAGGCCCTTCATATTCTATCGTACCAAAGGTAGGAAGATACTTGGCTTATAGGCCAGGATCTCTGTGGAAAGGATATATGGTGAACATTAAATACAAGTAGAGCAGAATTGTGGGGAACCCTGATTACTTAAGTTAGCTTTAAGACTGAAGTGTTGTTTTACACTATTTACCTAACTGGACATTTTATGCTTGCTGAACATTTAATCCGAGGCTATTAAAAGACAGACTACTCACATAGAAATATTTCTAGGGAACAGATTAAACGTCAGAATCTTTCACACTATAGTAGTCAATGCATCTGAGTGTACAAATTACTACAGCATTTCCCATCCCCCACAGAAAGGGATTCTACCTAAAACTTACTCTTGTCGCCTGTAGTCCCAAAGTGAGACAGAAAAAGAATCTGACCTTGCCTATCATTTTCTTTAAAAACTAGGTTTGTACCTCTATATAGACTTAAGACTTAGAAAAGGCAAATATCAAAAGAAAAAGTATAAAAACCTAATAACAAAGATTATTGCTAGAAGGGAAAAAATGCGCCACTCTCTGAGGTTTAGTTTACGTGTACCTATTCTAAAGGAAATATTTATACAAATATGCAACCAACTCCTTATTTGTATGTATGAACGCATCTCTTCTCATGTTGCCTAACCTGGCCTACACTTCATACTTGGAGAGCAGTCTAGAATTTTAAAGTCAAGCCAGAATTGTTATATAGAAACCAGTAAAAAGAGACCAAACACCAGAGGTGCCTAGTCAGTGAGACACAGAAAAGAACTCAAATACAGTTTGCTGATGCATTTTTCCAGTCTTAATCCTTCTTCAACTGGCTGTCCAACGACACTCTAGAACTCTTCAAGTCTATTAAGCCAAAAGTATAGGAGGTAACAAATACCAGTGCACAGAATATCTTATTCAAAGGATAAAGGCAAGAAACAAAACTATAACATGTTTAGAGATTGTATGTTCTATTTTTTCGTATACATCTTAAAATAAAATAGTCAAAGAGTTTAGCAAATGAAAAGACAAGGCCAAGTTTTGTGAGGCCCAATACCTGAAAGGGAAAAGCTGTCCATGAGTGTGGGTCTTGAAATTAATTTGTTGGGCCATAATCTTTTTATTTTATTTTTTAATGAAAAAGGATAGACTACAACAGAGCAGATTAGAAAACAGAGTGCATCATTTTATTGTGAAACTTTTATTTCACACATACATATCTATGTAATATAAATATGTGATATAAAGTACATTTCTTACTGTGAGTCGAAAAATTTTTACATACTTTGAATTACCCAAAGTCCACAATACGCTGGCACTTTATGTGAGAATAAAGAGTGCTCGTGATAGAATTTTTACCTGCTAATTCTGAGAATATTATTTAGGTAATAATAAATTTTATTTAAGGTCTACAAAAAAGTCAAAGGAAGTGATAAGGCTATTGCTGAAAGCTTATGTATAGATTTTTAGTCTGGGAGTTGCTCACAGTATCTTAAACAAGATTATGATAATTAATATATAATTCAGTTAAATTTCCTTCTCTGCACTCTATACCATGATCTCTCACTGACTGCAATGCTGTGCTGAGCACTCTGTTGAGGCATTTGGCGTGTAAGCTCTTGCTCCTGTAAGTCATTCCTCCGTTTAATGACGAAGAGGATTTTACAAAGGCCATTAGATCTGTTCCTAACTTGACTCTAGCAGCAACTACCAAAGAACTTCAAAAACGCTGATAAACAGATTCACTTAGTTCTCTACAGGAATGGGCAGTTACATGACTGTCTTTAGCTTTCAATCAAAAGGCTTACTGGTTATAAAATATTATATCCTCAACCAAACATATCTTCAAAACCGTATGAGATTCTTATTTTTTACTTACCTGTTGGATCTGCTATTACTAAACTGCAAAAGTTGAAATTCCTATAAAAGATTACAGGCATTTAAAATTCGCAATCTAGCAAACAGTAAAACTTTTCAAAGTAATCCTCAGTCAAAACACTAGTTAAAAATGGTAACATCGATTACATGAACAGTATTTTTCTCCTTCCTGCATGGAAATGAAAAAGAAAAACAAGTTAGTTCTATACAGCATTATTTTAATAAAACAAGGAAAAGGAAAAAAAGCATAGGAAAGCCATAGGAATCATAACTGAGTTTTTTTAAAACTACTCTTTCTTTTAAAAAATGTAAATAGAGCATATGCACAGAAAATTTATATATATATATATAACTTTTGAAACCAAGACTGTGATTTAAAATAATATAGTAGCAACAAAATTCTTTATCAGATCTTTGCTGAAAGTGACAGGAACTGAAACGGATAAAAGTTAAAAATTACCCCCCACGCCAACACATACCTCCTCCACAAGCTACCACTCTGCCTACTCTGTCCCACAGTCCCTCCTATTCCTTTCCAACACTCAGGGACAAATTCAATTTTAGTTAATAATATGGCCTGCTTCAGACTAGGTCACAGTTTTAGGGTTGCTCTAGGTTTCCTGACCCAGGGTGGTAAGTAGACCTAAGTACAGGCCAAATGTCATTGCTCACCAAAACCCAACTGCTATTTTTTGTTGGTAGATGGCATCCAGATCTACACTCTGGCACTAAGATGGAAACCTTGGAAGATTATGGAAAAATAAAAAGTATTGCTATTTTTAAAACCTTATTATATTTCCAGTAGACCCCTGTTAACAAAAGTAAACCTGCAGAAAGCAATATAAATACAAAAGTAGTGCCTTGAGCGAAAGAAGGAAGCATAAAACCATATTCTCCAACATACAAGTCAGATGTAAGCTATTTATGGGAAATTCCTAATCTTATACCCAAAGGCGTTTGGCGTGTAAGCTCAGAACACTAGAGGCTGTTTCATTTAAAAAGAAAACCACCAATGGCCCAAATTAACTGCCTATAAAATAAATCTTAATGCAGTTCCCCTCTCCTTCATATACCCATTCTCAACTGATAAATGCATATAATACACTAATATGTATTTAAACCAATCACAATTATCTTCTGAAAACTCCCTTAAAACACCATAAATATTTGATTATAACTCAATATTCACTGAATAATTACCAAATCACTCACTGGCATAGCTCCCTGCTAGCTGCTACGTGGGACAGAGAGAAGACAAAAGACTGTCTCCTAATGTTCTTCAATAGCTTACTATGTCACAGCATAGCACTCACTCTGCTACGTACATTGCCAGGACTTAATACTAAGGACAACAGCCTAGAACCTCTAAAATTGAGAATTATTAGAATTTGCATTCCTCCTCCAATTCATTAATAGGAAATTTGGTTAAGCCACTTCCTGTCTCCATTTTCTTAACTTTAAATGAAGACATTCTGAGCTGTGATATAAGAATGACCTTAAAATATATTAAAGTTTCACTTAATCAAGTAGGTACTTCACAAGTAATTTTTTTCAACTCAAGGAAAGTCATTTCTAATGCCAAATAAACGATGTTGACTATGTGCCAGCCTAAGTTAAAGTTAACTAATTCTTAAAGGAGAAGTACATTTCTCTCTTGCTATTATTTGTGGATGTCACATCTCATCAAAAACACCACGGAGTGAAGCTGGCAATTTTGTGTTTTATAAAAAAAGACAGTGGCTAAAATGGAAATTCATCCATCTAAGCTTGTCTCTGTCCCATTAACACAGATGAGTTCACAGAAATGAGGATGAAAGGTTATTTCATATCTCTATTCTATCCTCTTCAGAATACAATATTAAACGAATATACCATTGAGTCCTCACTCCATCTTATATCATGCCTTCTACAGTTTTATCAGTCATCTTGGCCTATCATTTGAGAACTTCTCTATGGCCTCAAATTTTATTTGGAAAACAAACAACTCAACCATTTGATTTGCTATAAATCCCTTCTAGAGGTTGGGGTAAGTGGGGGACAAATGAGAAAGCAGAGTAAAGTTCTCTGTTCTCTATATCCAAAGGAATATATTATACTCTGAAGAAGCAAAGGAAAATAATATACATCATTTATTTATCCAGTGAATATTTTCCCCGCAAATAACAATTCCTCACAGACTTTTACTTTGATTTGACATTTCAAGAATTAATGGATCTCTATAAAAACAATAAAAATAAACGCTAAATAGCTTTTTAGGGTGATTTAAAAAAGAAAATCAAGAGGTCCTTCCTTCGCAAATATATATTCCTTTGCAAGACCAAGGAATCAAGCTTCAAAATCCTAACACAGACCACAATTCTTTCAATAAAACTCACAGCACAGAGCCAATACTTAGAGCACTCCCGGTCAATCTTATTGTAAATTTCTATTATGGGGCCTTCAGAGAGTTCCTGTCTTAAAAGGCACTAAGATTTAAATTTGCTAAACAATGTTTCCCAAGATTTTTCCCAACATGGCACATATAGAATACATTTGCACAGCACACCTGAAGTAAAATGACATGGCTGGTAACAGCTAGCCAGTGGCTCCAGTAACCCCATGGATGAGTAAAGATCACTGTCTCTGTATACTTTGGAAGTCTCCACTCTGCTGCAGCCCATCAGCTGGTTCAACCAGCAAGACAACTTACAACAGTATTCTCAACTATTTATTTGAACTAGTGTCAACTTTGGAATTAAGGGCCTTCTGGGTATGTTTTAAGTTTTAATAAGATGACCAATAGTGAACTAAACAGTAGTAATCATAATAAAAAAGAATCATAGCTCGGTTCAACAATCAAGTTCTGAGATATTGCAGGTATGAATACTTTTCAGACAGGATGTTAAACTAACTTTTAAACATGTATGGCTTAACTCATAAAATGATGTTAAATAGTCTTAAAATGTTGATATTTTAAAAATAAATTTAAAATCCTATATTATCAAATTTGAAAGATTATTCTAATCCCTTTTGTGTTGACTGTAAGAGAAGGTTTGCAAAACTATTGAAGGAAGCTGAGCCCTACCTTCTTTAGTTGTTTTAAATGATCACAGGAAAATTTTTAGACATTCCTGCCCAAAACACAATTAACATGCATTTCAGGTGTATCTGATGCAAGCAGTCTGGAGATACTGAGGACAGCTTATAGGGGACTGCAGCTTAAGAAGTCTGCACCTTGTTGGCTACATACAATAACACTCAGCATGGGGTGGACACTCAGATGCACGCACACTTTCCTGGATAACGGCTGGTACATAATCACAACTTTCTCTGCCATTCACCATGCTTTTGCTAGGACCACAAAGGAATCCAGTCTTTGAACGACCATCTATGTGTGTGTTTCCATTTAAAGTAGTTAGAAAACAATGGCTTTTGAACTATCAACAATTTCTTTTAAAAATATATACTTAGAAGTATTAAACTATTTAGGGTTGAAAGTGCATTTGCACACAGCTTTTTCATACTGTTACAAAAAAAGTATAGAGACTTGATAAAATTAGACCAAATATACAGTATTCTTTTACTTTCAGTGGTGGGGAAAAGCTAACTCTTCCAACCAAATACAGTAGATGTTTCAATATTAATAAAGTTCCAAATTTAACATACCTGTATAGCCACTTAAATCTAAGCTTGATTATGGCAGCTAATACTTTCATGAGACAAATCATAACAATCAATAATACAATATAGTCTTACATTTCACCTCGTATTTGCTATTATAAATAAAATCCTAAAACTAAATACTCAATTGCACATTAATATCCTACTGAATGGTAACTGGATCTTAGAATAAAAAAATAGTAATATCTCAAGTATCAAGTATAAATAAGAAAAAAGTATAAATAGGAGAAACAGACTTAAATTATTTCATTACATTTTGCATAGAAATACATGGAAACATTTCTAAAACAGCTGAGTGATTCCCTGCCCTGGTAAGACATATTAATTTTAATCTTTAATGTTTCAGAAACAACATCATGACTTTAAATGTGTGTATGTATGTGAAAAGAAAGGCTTATAAGCAGTTTTCTCTTAAACTGTTTTAGGCTCTCTGGGATTTATTAAAAACAACAATAACCCATTTTCACTATTTTTAGCTGCGCCCTCCTGACCTTTTAGTGGCATTATCTACCCTTGTGTCCAAGAATTTCTGGTCTTTTCCCAAAGCATTACTTCTAATACTTGTCTCATAATTCACAGGTTATGTATATACTGGTAAACTTGCTGTACTGGTAGGACTAAGGCAAGAATGACAAGGGATAAAAGGGAGTGCTGCTTTCCACATTCCCTTTCCAGAAATTTCTATAAGAGTTGAGAGATTGGGTCGTCTATTTCTTATCTATATAAAATCACAATTAACATAATACAAGGACTTGTCCTAATAGGTTTCACTCCACTCTTTTGCTTAACTCTAAGAAAGATTTCATTCAGGTCACTGATCAAACAAGGAGTCAATAAGTAAAAAACCAACTTAAAGTCAGATAAATTTAAGAGGCTATAAAACATTCCATTCTCTCACTGCATTAAGAACAAGAAATATAAAGCTAATGAAACAAAAATTCAGTCTTTATCAGAGCCATTAAGAGAACAAAGACAGGAGATAGACATACACAATCAGACACCCTCGCCCTAAAAAAAGGTATACTCTACTCTACACATCCAGTGAGAAATCATGTTCCAAGATATAAACGAAAATTAAAAGACACAATGTAAGCTCCATAAAAGCAGACATTTTCATTGATTTTGTTCATGGGTATACCCTTATTAGCCAGAACTGTGCTGGCATATAGCACCAAAATTTTTTGAATAAATGATGAGAATAACAGCTTTAATTTTTAAAGATTTTTTTTAGAATTTTAAATATAAAAGCCATAATGTAAGTTTGCACCTACAAACATAATATGCATATAACGCTCTATCTTTACAATAATACTGAGACTGCCTTTTTCACAGGGCTGACTTTTCCAACAGCGTTTAAATACTGTTACCTTGCAAATATTCTTTGCCACACACACAGGGAAAAAAAAGCATTTCACTTAAAAGTTCTAGTATGTGCCATTAGCCAAATGATTTTCAGGACACCTACTCCCATTCTTGCTTTAAAAGAGCATTCTGATTTCAGGGCAAATTACAGTCATCATTTAACCCACTTAACAAAGTAGTCAATCCCTCTTCATATGCTCTCTCAGTATCCTGAACCTTCCCTTCATAGCCCTTATCGCTGTGTAATTTATATGGTTAATACCTAACTCCTCACTAAACTGTACAGTCTGCAAGAACAGGAACCATGTTTTGGTTCATTATTGTATCCTCAACCCCTAGCACACTGCTGGAAACCTAGTTAAGTTCTCAAATATTTGTTCACTGAAGGAAAAAAGAAAATTACTTCTCTCACTTTTTTCTTTGGAAAACAGCAGTAAATGCACAATTATTTTATTTGTAAGAACAGTGGCCTTCTAAGAATCATCATCAAATAAAGTTGTATGTGTCCCTAATTTTCTCAAACTTCTATTTAAGACTGGAGAAGAGTTCTGGGTCCACAATGACCTTTTTTCCCCACAGAGTGTTAAGTCCCTAACTTAGGTGGAACTGACTTAACTTCATCAATAGAAAATAAGACAGGTAAGCAGCTTGACTAACCTATTTTCTAATAGGTCACAATACAGACTGGTAAGTACAGGAGGCTCCTTGCTTTGAGGGGCAGGCAGTTAGTTCATGGCTGAGAATGACTGATGGGAAGGTTTGCTTTGCTAACAGAAATCATTCCTTCCTTCCAGGCTGGTTACACGATTATACCCAGACATACGTGGGCTCCTTCTACTTCTCTAGCACATGCTTTCTCCTCTCTTCTGTTTCCCTTTTCTTTATACCACTGGCTGAGAGATGGAAAAAGCAGAGGCTGACCAGAAGGAAAGAGGATTGCAATCAACTGTGAGCTTAACAAAACACACGCTAAACTAATGAGTCATTGGAAATGAAAGAAAATCTAAAAGAATAAGTTTGGAAATAAAAGCTTGAAAGAAAAGTTTCCTCATTTGTAAAATGAGGTGAACCATATAGTTTTTAAGGTTTCTTTTGTTTAGAATTGTGAAGAATGTCTAGTAGTAAGAAAGGAGCAATTTAAATTAAGCTATTTGTTAGTATTTAATCAAATAGGTTAAAATTTTAATCAGTTGAAGCAGCTACCTTAAGTATTAAATGAAAATCAGAATGTACTGTATTAATTAACCAAACTCTCAAGTGCCATGGTAATTCAGTCAGTAAAACATGTTTAGAAAACCATTTTTCTTAATTTAAAGAAGTATTAAATATAGCTTCTGGTTGATGGAACTCTGGAGTCTGAATAAATATTAAAACCTTGTTTAGTGACTGGAATGTTACATATCACCCAAAGTTTATCTTTGCTTATTGATTAGAGGTAACCTATTATTTTGTTTCTTAAATATTCTATGATAAACATGTATTGCTATGTAATAAAAAATCAGAATTGCTCAGAAAAAAAATTATTTCAAGATGACTTGAATTTTTATTCCTGCCCATCCAAACAGTATTACTTTTTCATTCATTTAATTATCTAAAATATTCAAGCTAAATATCTAGATGTGTCTTCAGAACCCTGCAAGTTTTATATGAAAGTTATACAGGTAGCTTTTAATGGGAGATCCTTAAACTAATGGATGTTTCTTGAGTATGGAATAATTATGTTAATTTCACTCAGACTAAGCAATTACATGTTAATAGAGAGCCCTTTGTTATTTGGTGATTTTAAGAAGGAAAAAACCTAGAGTTCTCTGCAACACCAACCTCCTTTGGCACCTCCTTCAGAATGCTCCTTCAAGCTATTATTATTATTAATCTTTCCATCCTCTCTGCTTTAAAATAGCTATTCCCTCTAGAGAACAATCCTAAAATGAAAGCCTGGTTTTAGCTCCAAAATGCCATACTGTCTACTCTCTACATATACCTTTGTGCAAGCTTTGCTACCAAATACCATCCTAAAGACTTGTCTTTCTCCACCAGGCAGTCTCGCTCATCTTTCACAATCTGATTCACTCAAAGGCCGTCTCCTCTGGAAATCTCCCCTACCATTAAGTCATTCTCTCATCTGGACTCCTATGTAACTTTCAACAGAATACTATATGAGCTTACATGTCAACTATTTCCAGTAGTCTATAAGATCAACCAGACGGATGATGTTTTATTCATCTCTGTATTCCCCAAGGCCCAGCATAACTCCCAGGAACTACTCTCCTCCACCCCCTGCCCCTTCCCCTTTGAGCAATAATTGTTCTCCAAAGAACCTTTACTCAGGGCAACTAGACTCTTTTTTCTTATAAAAGGAAACTGTACATTCTAAGTACGACCAACGAAAGGACTCCAAGCTGAATTCTGATTTATGAACCTTACCTAACAGAGCAGTTCTTCATCTTACTTAATGGTAATAGTCCCTGTAAACCTGGGTAATGTGGATTAAGAAAAATCTGAATAACCCCTAGACTATAGGAAGCTGAACACTTTTATAGGCAATGTATCTATTGTAATTAACTCATGATGTTCCAGTTCATTTACTACTTTTCTTGGACATTTTAAGATGTCAATACATTTCTAAGAATCTATAATCCAGAAATATTATTGCTATCCCAGATGTATGTATATACCAGTTCAGTATACATGTATACTGAATACATATATACATACATACATACATACATGAATGGTTTCAAGAAAAGCTAAATAGCATACTAATTTTCTCCTTTTCCCTCAAGAAGTCCCTACAGGACAAAGAAAACAAATATTAAACTTCAGTTATACAAGCATGTGTGTTTGGAGTAGGAGGGTCATGAATAACTTTATTCCAACACCTAATTATACTAGTCACTGATGTAGGCACATTTTATATAACTTATTTAATCTTCACGAGCTTTAGGAGCAGATACTATGATGACTATTTTACACATGGAGCAACTTAAGGTCAAAGAAATTAAACACCCAGTAAGTAGTAGAGTCAATTCAAACACAAACTGACACAAAATCGTATGCGTTCTTCCCTCTCTAGATCACCCTGGTTTCTTGGCAGTACCATGAGATTATGAAGCTAATTTAATTGAAAGCAGTCATAAAAAATTTGTTCCAGCTCAAAATGGCATAAAATTTTAATATCTAGATTGAAAGAAAAAATGCAAAGTACCCAAAAACCAAACATGACTGCTAAAACGCAAGAACAACGTAGTTATTAAGATAATTAACTTTTTTTAGGTCTTCCAATATATACCAAACCTGACCAAAAAAGATAATGCCTTAGTACAGGCCACTTATAATTCCTTAATACTAAATTATTAGCTTCAATACATAAATTTATTACAAATTTACAATAAGTTGTAAGCCTTGAAATATATACAAGTACATATATTTTATTTAGTAGAGTTATGGTAATTTGAATATAAAAGTTCAGTATACTTTCTTCTCAGCTAGTTACTGGGTTATATTTAAAACTATTAAGATACTATTTCTTGCTGTTCTTACTCTTAACAAAATGCCACACCACCGTTGTTAAAGAAGGAATTTTCAATATGGATCACTAAATTCTATTTCCGATACTAAAACTCTATACTTTATAGTATTTTTAAGTTCTTCCCCATCTATTACCTCATTATCACTAAGTCAATCCTGTGAGGAAGTTCAACAGGTAGTATTACTTCTATTTTATGCATAAGGAACAAAAGCAAATTAAGACCAAGTTATTTGCTTAAAGTTACAAAGCTAGCCCTTGACAGAGCCAATTCTGAAACCTAATTACCACTCCTCATTATATCATGGCCCTTGGCTCTTCTTCTTTAATAATTCTCTAGGAGTTGAAAATTTAATAAAAGCAACAATTATACTTAAATGGACTGAAATGATTATTTTGTGATCTTTTCAAACAATCTAGGCATATTAATGTGTGATGTTATGTGTGCAAAAAATGAGCTCCTTAGTAAATGAACTTGCCTAACTATAAAATTAGCTTTTTCCATACAAGAAAAAATAAACCATGTATTAATATTTGATTTTAACTGTTTTTAAGAAAGACATAAGACAAAACTTGGGCAGTGGTTTCTCTGAAGACCTCAATATAAAACCAAAGCCCAGTACTTTTTAAAAACCTTGAGTGGTTTTTCTTAAGCCAGAACCAACTCGTATGAGGCTTTATATCTACGTATTTGCCTTATTTGGCTAATCATTTGTCACAAATATCTACCCAATTGTCTCACATTTATCACCTATAATCTTAACAGACACGCATAAATAATAAAAGAAAATAACAAAAGTCCTTGAAATCAACTTTTAAATAAACCAGTTTAAAATTCACCATAGGACAGGGGTGGAGTACTGCTATAAATATATAACTACAAATGTATATCTTTCAAGATGTGGTTAGAAACTAGCAATAACGTTTTCTGTTACTTCTGATGGTGCCATGAAAAAATTATGTAATAAAATATATATATATATTTATTTATTTATTTTTTTTAGTGATCCCCCAGTTAGTCTAGTATCCACCTGGCACTATACATAATTATTACATATTATTGACTATATTACCTATGCTGTACTTCACATTCCCATGACTATTTTGTATTTCTTAATCTCTTCAACTTTTTCACCCAGTCACTAATCCCCCTCCCATCTGGCAACCATCAGTTTGTTCTCTGTATCTATGAGTCTGTTTCTGTTTAGTGTGTTTACTTTGTTCTTTAGATTCCACATATAAGTGTCTTCCTGTCTGACTTATTTCACTTAGCATAATACCCTCTAGGTCCATCCATGTTGTTGCAAATGATTAAGATTTTTTTTTTTGGCTGAGTAATATTCCATATATTACTCAATAATATTCCACATGTACCACATCTTCTTTATCCACTCATCTATTGATGGGCACTTAAGTTGCTTCCATATTTTGGCTACTGTAAACAGTGCTGCAGTGAACACAGGGGTGCATATATCTTTTCGAATTAGTGTTTTGTATTTATTTTGAAAAGATAATGTAATAAAATATTTTAAAATAAAATAAAATTAATACCTTATTTCTATGTGAGGTAAGCTGGCATAACCTATGACCACTGAGACAAATATGACAATCATTTCTTCAAAAAAAGAACCTAATCTCTGGTACATTCTGATAGTAGCTAGCATGTTGTGACATCTCCTTCTATCTGAAATGATCAGTAACAACCTAGTGAGGCTGTTTTTAGGGATGCAGAAAATAAACTAAGATAGGATGACCAATTATCTGGGTTTGGCTGGAAACGAGGGAGCTCCTGGGACTTAGGGACTTTCAGTTTTAAAACCAGGATGAGTTGGCCACCTTTACTTTACACTAAGGAATAGAGAACACGTCTGGATGTCTGGATACTTGGTAGCATGCAGCTAAAAACTAAAGATTTTCTAACCACCTTCCCCCCAAAATCACAAATTCAATTCTATTTTCACCTCATTCAAGCCAGTAGAAACTAACAGGATATACATTAGTAGTTAAGGAAGGGAGACGTACATTTTTTAAAAGAATCTACTTTCAAGCTTTAACTGACCAGGGATTTGTGAAGTGAGATTTTAAAAAATGAATTCACTTTCCCTATTGAAGTATTTCTAACCTTCACTTCTTACACTATTTTTACAAAACTAACAATTTAAGTTGAAATAAAGCCACGATGTTCCATTCTGTGGTTGGTGTCAACCAACATTAATTAATGTTTGTTTAGCAGGGAAAAGAAAAGTCTGTAACAACATATTTAAAGAGAAATATGTCAGGACCAAGGAAATGAAACAGATATGTTTCAAAGGACAAGAGCTAATATTGTCTTCCTTTCAGTATCTCAAAGCTGGTCAGTTTAGTATATATTATTTACATACACCAACCTGTAGATGAGAAGAGTTTACCGTACTTGATTAAACAATTTCAAGCCTAAATGTCCCAGCTATGCAGCATAGTCCTCTAAAGCCATAGCAATAAGATGACTCACCAATTGGCAGGTGTCTTAGGTTCTACGAATAATGGGTATCTGCTTGAACGAGAATTATGTTTGTGCCCAACAGACGACCTCATCCTGCTTGGCTAAGAGAAGAGAGAGGCTAAAAAACTAGTCAGTAGTACAGTACTTGTTTTCTAATTGAAAGAATCAGACTTTGCTCCAAAGAAGAGACTTAAAATTCATGCAAACTTTAAAAATGACCTCAGTACATATTCTATATTCCAATTTCACTTAACACAAGCATACAACAGGATAAGAACTAAAAGGATAAAAATCAACTTTATGATCCCCAAATTAGAAACACTGAACGTGAGAATTATCATACTGAGTTCACTGCTTCAAGAAATTTGAAGTCAGAGTCACGAGAAAAATAAATCCATATTTAAACCCTGCTATTATATTTAATGACCTGATGTCAGTTTCCACTCAAGTGAAAATTAGTTCATATTTGAGTTCTAGTTCATTGATGGATATCCTCATGTGAAAACTGACACCATGCCAGTTAATAAGATATGGGTTTATAAATATGGAGTTTAAAAGAAACTTACCCTTTCCCTTTGTGCAGCTGACTTCCAACCCAGTTTCTATAGAAACAGGAGGACAAGTGCCAGTGCCAGAAGTCTGCCAATTAGAACTCATCTTTTAGTTGTTGAATAATAAAGCCATATCCCAAAGTCGGCTATAGGTTTCTGATTTTCAGTAGTTCCTAAAAAGAAACCCAGGAGGAAAAAAAAGACATTTAACCAATTACTGTACTTAGAAATGCTCCCTCCTTTAAACTTGTCTATTAAAAAAAGTAGAGGAGGTAGAGCCAATACCATATATATTTTTTAAATTTTTATTAGGGATTCAGACATCTTTAAACTTAAGGACCAGCAAACAGAAGGAAAAGTGTCTTTGAAGGTTCAAAATACCTTTAAACTACTACATTAAAGAAAATAAAAAGCACTCCTGTATCACAGAAATAAAGTATTTTCAACCATCAAACCTTAAGTTCAGATAAATCCATTCATTTTGTGGAATGAATTTTCAGTACAATTTTAACACTGAAAAGGGTAAACTTCACAAATGAAACTTGTCAGGAGAAATAATGGGGATATAGGTTAAGTCTCCACTAAAAACAAACCTCTCATGTCTCAGGAGGAATCTATAAATCATAAATGAATCTTAGAAAAGTCTTCTAGAGATGCTGACATTGCTGTGCTTGACGAAAAATCCCTTCAAAACACATATGCCAATTTAAAAATTTAAAAACTGTGGGATATGAGAATAATCTTGCTGTAGTTTTTCATTTGCTATCAACATGGTTGCTTGGTGAATGTATTTTAGAATTTTATGATAAAAACAAACATTAAAAATATCATCCCTGTATCTAAATTGATATATTGCAACTTGGAGCTAATTTAAAGCTAATTTAAAATATTGTCACTGTGAACTTTTAAGATGAATATAAAATAATTCTTCATTCTTATTGCTATGTGAGGAAAATCAGTTTATGAAGTTATTATCATACAATTAAAAAATAAAGGCAATTAGGCCTCAATCATCCATATCCATTCTTCTATAGAAAGCTCTAAATCTAGGTATACCAAATTTTCTAAATTTGGGGGCACCTATCAGCAAACACAGCGTCTCAAATATCCTCATCTTGTATCTCTAGAAAAATGTGTTCTATCTAACAATGAAAAGAGTGGACTACAACAGAGTAGGGAGGAGAGAAAAAAATATAAGCACAACAAAATAATCAAGAACCAACCAACTAGGATAGGCAATAGTAACTACCCTCACCCCCATCTTGGTGGCAGAGACCTCTGGTCATTTTCTGGTCACCAGAAACTCACTATGTAAGAACTCTTGTTCCTACTACTCTTGTTAAAAATGTTTTTTAAATGCTTTAAAGGAAATGTCATTGACTAATACACAAATCTGAGAATCTTATTCATAATAGATAAGATTCTAATCATCTATTTCTTTCCATACAGAATATTTATGTATCCACATCTAAAGCAGTGCTTCTCAAACTTTAAAGTACATAGAAATCACCAGGGGATCTCAGTCCATTCAATAGGTCTGGGGTGGGGCCCTGAAATTCTACATTTCTAACAAGCTTTTGAGTGATACTAATGCCGCTGGCCTGAGGACCACATTTTCAACACCAAGGATTCTAGAAGACTAAGCAATACACTTAACCCAAATTATACTCCGAAAGTTTTTGGTTTTGATTTTCAAATAGTTCTTAAGAGGTTGATGTTGTGTTTATTTATGAATATATATGTTTAAGTTTTGTCCCTAGAGCAGCGATTCTCACCCCAGGCTACACAGTAGAATCACCTGGGGCACTGAAAACAAAACAAAAACAATACTGAAAACTTGGCAAGAGTTGCACTTGACCTGGATCAATTTAAAGGAATCTCTGAGAGAGTCCCAGCTAAAAAGTTGCTCAGGGGTGACATGGTGTAGCCAGGGTTGAGACCTCTGCTATAGAATACAGAAAATTTCTAATTAAGGAGTCCGGTTTACTGAAGTGTTTCTGAACATAAAGAATATACACAAACTAGATGCTTATCTTGGGAGTGAGGTAAAACTATTGTTAACTTCTATATGCTGAAATACAAGTTTTATGGAACATCAATTTTCTCAAGATGCCTTAAAATATGTAATAAAAATTATATATGTATATAGCACCTCAGTGTGTTAATTTTGCCTATAATAATAGTTCTGCTCTGGACACAGAAGTAATAACGTGCATATGCATAAAATTAAGTCCTTTTCCTGGGTAAAAGGAAATCTGTTGGTCACCTGACAAAGGTCAGATACCAATTCAGCACTTAAATATGGTTTAAACACACGTATCTAGGTTTGCATAGGATGATAGCCACTCCACAGAAAGACCGTCCTAACTGATTTTCAATAAGCAAGTTTGGTTTGATACCACTAGCGAAATTGTAAGTTATGAAAGCATGGTCAGCGTATTAGAGCGGAGACCAAATATGACAGTGGAAACTGTCAGGACAGTCTGTTAAAAGCAGAGAATAAGAAATGACATGCTGAGAAAATGAGGTACTGGAATGTGGCTTTGAAACCTCAGGGTGGCCAACAATTCTGAAGAAGAAATAAAATCTCTATTATGTTATTTAAATAAGGAACACTGCTGATCTCTGAAGAACATACTGAATCTTACAGGAATCTGAAATGCTAATTTATCTTTGAAGGAAATAGCATCTTTGATTTGTAAATAAATGGCGAAAGATTTCCTATTCTGAATTACTTATACTATGTTTGTCTTCGATTAATGTAGCTAATTAATTAATTCTTCAAATATTTGGGTACCTATTATGTATCAGGCATTATTCTAGATCTTGGGTATAACTGAAGGACATATGAAGGAAATGAGTTAACTTTCCTGAAACAGGTAGTAAAATCTTGATCAAATCACATTACTTCCTCTGCTTAAAACCTTCAATGGCTTTTCATTACATTCAG